GTTTTGTGAGGTCCGAGTGACTTTGACATATAACCACAAAATCAGGTCTAATCAGGTCATCCTTGAGTAAGTGAATGTCTGTGCCAGCTGAAATGAAATCCCCTACAGGTCACCTGTCAGTCCAGGTAAACATTCGTACCAAATCTGAAGAAATTCCCTCGACACGTGATTGAGATATATTGTGAATGGGATGGACGGATGTACAGTTCATACTAGGGCTACTGATAAATGTTGCTCGACAAAGAAAACAGGAGGTTTTCTACAGATTGTCTAACGGTGCTTTTACATTACTTTACAGTGGTCAAGGCAGGAAATGTAATATGATTGTTTCTTTGGTAACTTTGTAGAATTGTAAAATCCTACAACTTGTTATTGTAAACTACAGCACACTGCAAATACATGCAACCACAATCTGTGACGTGCAACTAAAATGTATGTGGGCTGTCTGTATTTTAGTTGAGTCATGTTGCTTTCCCATCTCATTTTTACACTCACACACAGGCTCCGCCCCCACTCACTCACACACAGCAGAGGTGAGAGGTGGTGTAGGAGCTGGTTAATGTCAAACAGTGGTTTCCATTAAACACCGCTAATGATAAATGATTAGCTGATTCAGGATCAGGGCAGAGGCAGTGGTTGGTTTGTACCATGTCAGAGTGACCTGCGCTCACTTAGGGTCAATAAACACTAATAACAAGTTATTAGGGCCTGAACAATACTGAAGTATACTTTGTACTTTACTTCTTCTTCTACTACTTCTTCTTCTTCTCTGCCTAATTCCAGTGCAAGTTTAAAAGATAAAGGAGTCGTGCTGACATCACAGTCGGTGGGTTCAATGACTAATCCGTCAAGCATAAACGCAGCTTGATACCTTCAGTTTCCATCTGACAGTTAATATGAGTTCAGCAGGTTTTTATGAAGATCAGTTCCACCTGTGAACGATTAGAAAACTGAAGACAAGCAGAATCTCTTGTTGACCTGTGCAGTAATGTGCCTCAGTGCAGTGGTGCTGATTTGATTTATATTGACATATATATTGACATTCGTTTTGATCCTTATCACCCAGCCCTTATTCTCTGTATGTATTTGTTTTTGAAATGGTTTAATCTGAGCCTGGCCATATAACAATGATAGCAACCATCACTTCCATACAAGGTACAAGATGTGGCCGATTAAAGGTCCAGTGTGTAAGATGTAGGTGAAAGGGATCTATTGGCAGAAATTGAATGTAGAATAATCCTCATGATGTTTTCACCAGTTCATTTCATCTAAATTGTATGAACTGTAGTTTTCTTTACCCCAGAAAAGACCCTTTATATTTAAATACTTTATATTTACATGGAGGGGACCCTCTCTACAGAGGCCGCCATGTTTTTTACATTAGTCCAGATTGAACAAACTAAACACCTTTAAGTTTTTATGACAACTGAAGCTACCACAGGTTCTTTTCATGTTTGGAAGGAGAGGGTGAGGTGAGGGACGTTCAGCTGCAACATGCAACTTCAACACTAGATATCACTAAATTCTACACACTGTACCTTTAAATCAGTAAATCATTCATCAGAAAAACTATTAGTAACATTCATAGCACCCTATTTTATAGGTCGAACATGTTCGGGTCAGCTTTCTACAAAATATTGCAGGTTACAGGCTGGGCAGGTCAAACAGTAAAAATGATAACTGGTATACACATATGCAAAACTAGAGATTATTGGTCCAATCTCTCTCTATCTCTTTCTCATTCCCACATACACACAAATATACACATAAAGAGTGCACGTCCTCTAATGTTCTGTTCTGCATGACTGAAAAATAACTAGATTAACATGCACATTTCTCAACACTCAAAAGGAGGGGTCAGTATCAGCAGTGTCAGTCCATGTCACTTCAGTAATGGTAGTATTCAGTATATGTTCCCGTGGAATTGCTCAGGATCCAGCAGTAGCACAGTGTGCATGTGCGGTTATTTCCAGCTGTGAATATATACAATATGGACAATATTAATCACAATGGTCACCGAGCTGATTTCTGGGGATTATGTATGAGAATACACCTTGCAATGTTTCTTTACACTTTGCCTGAACACAAAAGCACAATCTATAATTTATGCAATGAAATCCAAACCTGTTTTGTAACCTATATCATTTCTCAAAGCAGCCCCATAGCTGCAGCATCACCGGTGCGGAAAACGTTCTTCTTCACCTGTCAAATGTCCTGGGAGTGTGTGTGTGTGTGTGTGTGTGTGTGTGGACGACATGATAGGATTTTTTTCTTACTCGAGCACCCTGTGTTGCTACAAACAGACCTGGAGTGTGCTACTGTCATGAAAGAGGAACTACACCGAATGACCTCAAGGAACGCTATGTGAAAACCTATGAGACATTATTATACACTATGTGTGTACCGGGATCAACCATTCTCCAGAGGACCATTCATTCTGAATAGAACTCCATATCTGAGGAAGAGGAAGCATGACTGCTGAGCCAGTAATGGTCAGAGGTAATTTTGATTTGTGCGATTTGTGATTTTGTTGCAATGGCAGCATGTTAGGCACCGATACAGAAGAGAGGCAGAGTACTGCAGAGAGTACCAGGGATTTGCAACATTACTTTGGAGAACTAAAGAAGTAAACGTGATCTCGGGTGACATTTCTTTTTGTGTCCATGTTCAGGAATTCTGCAGGGGATCTCCGCAAAGCACTTGAAACACCTGTGCTTAAGGTGTGACGTAAGATGTATTCTCGCCAGTAGGAAACACAATTTATCAGTCTTTTAAATGTTATATTTAATCTTTTTCAGTGGCTATTCTCCTCTAATTCTAATTAAACCCTCGTTTCAATCAAGTTTGCTTCAGAAGTGAAAGGGTTACTGTCCTCAAACTATGCAGACAGTTATCCAATCAGATTTTTCTTTTTTGTTGTCTGGGCAGAGACGGTTAGCTGCCTCACTCATTGGTTAAGGCTAAAGAACATGGGCAGAAGGCTTGATTTCCCCTTGTTATCAAGCAATGTGTGTTGGTTTAATAAAGTGGCAAGCGAATTAACCAATCACATGTTCATTTATAGTGGGTGGCACCTTCCTGAGGGCTCGGAGCCAGAGCTCTCTCACATGCTTTACCTGTCTTCTGTCCACAGCACAGACACAAACCAAACTGAGAGGTTTGAAATCTGCTTCAGCAATGTTTCAATTTTAGTAAATGGTATTAAACTTCAATGGAAAATAGTTTATAGCAAATGACCTCTAATCTTTTACAGCCCGCTGGCAAGCAACTGTCCAGGGATGTGATTTTACTGTCAAAAGAAGTGAAGCAAAGAAAGTTGTCCAACAGTCTTCAATGGACTTGACATGACAATGTTCAAAACTTGGTATGACACATATTAAACCCATTAAAAGACAAACTTACATTCTTACGAGCTACAACGATGCAGGGAAACTGATCTAACCCAAGATATTGTTCCAATAAAACTAACCTGCAACAGTAGACACATTTCATAGGAAAAGTAATTGCAGGCTGGATTATGTTTCAGAAGTAATGCATTGTATGAAATATAGCCATGTCAGCTTCAAGTTCCAGCCTAAACTATCCATATATCTCAAATGAAATGAAAGAATATTCATCATATGAACTCGGTGTCCTCAAAATAGAGAATATATTACAATATCACTAGTATTATGCTGTCATTTGTTCATGAGATGAATTATGGTACCATCTTCACTTCACATTCTACCAGAGCCTGAAGGCCGGAGTTCCCTTGGAAGGAAACCGGGCTTCACCTGATGAAATGGTGATAAATCTACTATCCCTCACAAGCACACACGCTGACAGAGCACGACTGGAACCTGCGGGAGGACTGGTGCGAGCAGAGGCTGTCAGACTAACAGGGGACGACTGCTGAGACTGTGAATTATATAACAGCAATGAAAATAGGTAGCCAAGCTTTTACATATTAATGGGATCTCTAACAGGTGAGGGGCGGTAAAGCTCCGCATTGGTCCTACACAGACAGGTACACAGTGAGCCAGGAGACACACTCTACACACACACACACACAGATACTGAGCATTTACTGACAGATGTTAGGGTGCAACCACCCAACCACATGCACTGATGCTGACAAAGATAATTAGCTGCTATGCACAGCCAAAGAATGTGGAGTCAAAACCACAGACAAGGAGCCAAGTGTGTGTGTGTGTGTGTGTGTGTGTGTGTGTGTGTGTGTGTGTGTGTGTGTGTGTGTGTGTTGGGGGAGATAATAAATAATAATACATACCACTGGAGGTAATTAATCTGTCACAGGCTCTTCTCTCTCATCAGACAAGATGCATTTCACAGTAATCTGCTAGGAATGAGACACTTGCTCCAGCTGCTGGTCACGGAAACAACATACAAGTGCACGGCAGTGATAGAAGCATGCTGAGATTTCACCAGTGGATTTGTTTTGTAAGAGATGCAGGTAAAGCGGTGTGTGGGGGGAGGTGGGGGGGGAGGAGGTGGAAGTCATGCAGGGAGAGAGTGAGAGAACAGCAAGAGCTGAGATGGAACGACTCACTGGAGGTAGTTCAACCCTTAAATCTCTCTCTCTCACACGCACACACACACACACACACACACACACACACACACACTCCATGTAGCAGCGCCAAAGCCCTGATCTGATGGACGCATCATCCCTCACATCAGCAGCATCCTATACAAATATACCCTTGGAGGATTCAAATCGCGGTGACACCCACATCACGGAGCTCCGTGGGGACAGAAGTCAGAGTTCATGTGGGATTTGATCGTGGAAATGAAACGCCGGAGCCCCGCACCCCGGAGACGACGGTCACACTGAAGTTTAACGGGGGAGAAGCAGTTTGCGTCTGTAATGATGCTGCATGCTGACCACCGACTGGAGGTCACTCTTCCGCCCCCCTTTCATTCATCACATCCCCGGTGGCTCGTGCGTAAAGATTGCGAGCTCGGGGATGTGGTCGCCGTGCTCAGCCGGTGCTGGTTACCTTGAGAAATGGACAGCAGTCTGGAGCGGCTCCCTGTCGCGGCAGTGACGGCTTCAACTTTCCCGTCGTCCCTTCCCTTAAATCCAGTGTCCGCGCGGTCCAGGTGCAAACCGCGGTCCGCTCGCCTTCTCGATCCCCTCAGTGTCGCTGTGTCTGCCGCTGCACACGGTGAGCAGGACGCAGCCGAGCGGAGTGAGGAGCGAACCGGCGGCGGCTTGTCTCGGCTGCTGTAGCGTCACAGAAGAGGAGGGGAGAGCGGAGAGGTCTCACTCTGATGGCGCGGGGCTTCGCTGTCATGCTCCCGGTCTTATTCATGTAGTGCTGCCGAGCAGCGCAGTGTGGCACAAGTGGTGTAGTGCAGCACCTCCACTCATTCACACGGCACCACCGCACTGACTCCACCAGCCTGGAGGGTGGAGGACTGAGGACAAGTGATTATTGACATCTTCACTCCACCGCAGCCAAGTGGAGACAGGTCTCCATCACCTCCACACATCACCTC